AGTTAAGATGAAATTATATCTTAAAGAGATGCTTTTTTTGGATTAACTGCAATAAGAAACAAAATAGCTATTGATGTCTATTATTTAGATGATAAAGAAAATTTAAAACATTTATTTATAGGAGAAGGAACTTTTAATGATTGGAGTCGTTATAAAATAGATTCGAATATTGTATAAAGTTATTAATAATAAATTAAAAATATAACTAATTTTTTAGAAGAAGGATTCGATGGTAAAATTTATTTAATTAAAAATGATTAAGAATAATATATAGTTAAAAGAGTAAAAGAAAATAATAATATTGAAAATAGAAATCCTTGATATATAATAATTAATTTTTAAGATAAAATTATAATTTTAGTTATTTTAAAAATAACTAATAATTAATTATAAAAAAAATATTTTTTAAATTATATATTAATATATAATTATTTATATATATATATATCTATTTTTTATTTTCTTTTAATTTTCTTTTTTATTTTTAGTTTATAAAAAAAATTTTAAATTAAACTTTTTTATATTTAGCTTTCTTTATTTATTTTTTAAATTATTTTTTATTTAATTTAATATCAAATATATTTAATAGTCATTATATCTAATTCACTATTTCATTTTAATTAATATTATATATCTTAAAAATTATTTTTTTATTTAGATTTTGCTTTTTATGAAACTATTTACTTTTTTTTGCTTTAACTTTTTTTTTAATTGAAAATATACAAATTCAATCATTTTTATAAAAAAAAATAAAGTATCATATCTGAAATATAAATTTATAAAATACTACATTTACTTTATTTCCATATTAAAAATACGATATATATATAATTTTATTTAATTAGCTATAATATACTCTTACTTAAATTATTAATTTTTATTATTTTCCGCATATTCTTTATTTTCATCTTTCAAAGTATTATAATATTTCAATAATTTTAAAGTAAAAATCTTTTTATATATATATTAAAAAAAAAGTCCCCATTTAAATAATAAATATCTTATAAATAATTAAAATAAAAATATTTTATTTTTCTTATATTTATTTATATCTTAATAATTATCACAAGTTTTAACTTACTTATTATCAATAAACACATAAAATATTTATATAGGAAAGCTTTTTTATTTACTTTATATATATTTCTAATTTATTATAGAAAGGTTTATTGAGTTTTTATTAATATACATATATATATATAAATATTTTATTAAGTAATATTTTTTTTTTATTAAAAAATATATAAAAAACTTTAGAATTTTATGCAAAAATAAGAATTAGAAGAAGGAGAAATTGAATTTAAAGAAAAATCAGATAAAAAGCCATAATAAAAAAATAATTAGTAAAATATAAAAAAATATAATATAAAAAAATAAATAAAGAACAACTTAAAAAAAAAAAAAAAATACTTCAAATAATTAAACTCAACAAAAATAAACGCCTTAAATATTCTCATCATCATATAAAACATAGCCATGTGAATTTTATAAAAAGGGAGTTTGTTAAAAAGGTGAATAATGTCCATATTCACATGATTTTCAAGTCCAAAAATAATAAGTAAATAAAAAAATATAATTTTTCTTTTTGTTTTTTAATTGAAAAAAAAAAAAAAGACACTTTGTAAATATTATTTATCAGGTCAATGTGAAAAAGGAGAAAAATGTGTCTTTTCTCATTCTTTGGAAAAATTTCCTTGTAAGTATTTTTTCGCTTCTTAATGCGAAAAATCAACATTTTGCCCTTTTAGTCATGAATAATTAGTATTTTTTAAAAATGAATAAGAAATTAATTAATTTTATGAAGAAAATGAAGATTTTTTAAATGATTTATATAAAAAATAAGGAAATGTAGGCTTTTTTAATGAATAATATAAAAAGTATTTGAATTAAAAGGCATAAAATATTGTAAATTAAAATAAATTAAAAAACTAAAATTTATTAGTACCTAATTAAAATATATAAGAAAATACAAATAAAAAAGATGAGGATATAAATAAAATTAAAAAATAAATTATTAATGTCTCGACATTTAATCAATATTAAATATAAAACTAAAAATAATAATAATAAATAAATAACCTATAATAAACATGTTATAATCAAAATAATTAATATTAATAATTAACATAACAATATTAATAATAATAATAATAATAATAATAATAATAATAATAATAATAATAATAATAATAGTAACATAAATTTTAATATTAATAAAGTTAATAATAATATAAGATATTATAAAGTTAATAATAATAATATATATCTAAAAATAATAATCAATTAAATAATAATTATTTTAATAATTAATAAAATTTATATAACAATGCTAATAACAATTTTATATACTAAAATTAATAATAATATATTTAAACTTATAATTATGGAAAAATTAATGAAAACAATTAATATAATACTTAAATTAATATAAATAGGAATTCTTTTAATAATAATAATTAAATTTAAACTAGTATAAAAGACAATATCTATAATTCTTAATCTAATTTTATTCCTAATTAATTTGTTAATGATACATAAACATAAGCTTTAAATGTTCCAAAAAATATATAAATACCACAATTTCATATAAATAAAAAACATGAGTAAACTTAAATGGAAAATTAAATTAATTCTAATTAAGAATAAAATGTATTAAATGTTGATTTTACTCCTAATTTATCATCTTTACCACCTAAATGTATATAAGAAAAACTAAAAGACCCTCGACAGAGAAATTAAAATAATAATTAATAAAAAGATTAAGTTATAAAAAAATTAAAATATAAGAAAATAATACTCTTATATAAGAATAATAAAAATCTTAAACTAATGAAATAATAAATTCTGAAAAAGCTCAAAATAAAAACTAAATATAAAAAACTATTACAAATTAAATTATGAAAAAAAATAATAATAATATAGAAAATTAATAAAAAATAAAGAAACAATTATAATTGATTAAAATTTATTAGAATAAAGAATATCATAATTAAATAATAAATAATTAAATATTACAGAAAGGATATCTAAAATAATGAAAACTAAAAAAAATATGTAAAATTAATAAAAATAATCAATAGAGTTTATATAATAAGCATTCATAAAATATAATATAGATTATGTTATATGAGTATTTAAAAAAAATTATTATAAATGAACATGTTTAATATATATATATATATATATATATATATATATATATTTATTTATATATTTAATATTATTTATATATAAAAAATTATTATATATTTTTAATAACTTATTATCTTAATATCTTCAGTAAAGACTAAGAAATTCTTTTTTATATCTTGGTTAAGAAAGAGAATTATGATATTATTATTTTTAATATTATTATTATAGTTAATTAGATTATTGAATATTTTATTCATTTTAATTTTAATAAAATTATTAATAAGGTTATTAATATTATTATTAATTTTATTATTATTAATAATATCTATAAATAAAATTAAAAAAAAAAATATTTTTATTTTGATATAATTTACTACTATCCATTTTTATTTATTAAAGTGTCTTAAGCTACATTTTTAAAAATATTTTTTCTTTCATAACTTTATTCAATATTAGGTTATTATAACATATATTATTAATTTTAAATTTATTATTATTATTATTATTATATTATTATTATTATTATTATTATTATTATTATTATTATTATTACTAATTTTGTTATAATTATATATATTGTTCTTATTATTATTATTACAAATTATTAATAATTTATTAATATGTTTTCTACTTATCTTTTTCTATATCATCTTTAAAATTATAATAATTTAAAAGTAATTTATTACCAATATATTATGGATAATTAATGAAATTGGCTAAATTAATATATAAAATATATTTATATATTTTTTTTATAATTACATCTGTATTCAGATAAATTATTTTTAGGATTGTATAAATATTCTTTTTTATAATTATTATATTATTCATTTTATTAAGGAGTTTTTTAAATATATTACTATTTATTATTTTCTTCTGGAAAATTATTATAATTTTAATAATTTTATTTATCTTAATTCTATTAAGGAGATTTAAATTAAGAAGAAGAAGTTATAAATTTTTAATTTTAAGAATGATCTCTATATTATTATAACTTAGGTTATTAATAACAATTAATTTGATCGCTAATCTTTTTATACTCCATCATTTTTTAAGGAACATCATAATGTTTTGGAGAAACCATTTTTTTTTAAACATTTTCTTTAAAGATTTAATAACTCTATTCCGAATCATAATTTGGACGAATTATTGCATGGTGATTAATTTCATCTTAATTTTATATATTACTGTATTTTGTACCCTGAAATTATTAATCTTTTTATTAATTAAAATATCTTTCATTCTCATCCGTTTTTAGTTTAAATTCTTATTATGGTAAATTGAGACTTTTAAAATAATAAATGTGTTAAAAAGATATATAAGATATATATATGATATATATATATAAAATATAATATATATATATATATATATATAATATATATTTAATTATTTATTTACTAATTGTTTTCTATGTTATTCTTAAATTAATTAAATTGTGGATATGCTCCTTTATTTATTATTTTTTATATTTTTTTATTAATTTTTTTATTTTATTATACATACCTTTAATGTCTAAAGTTTTTAAAGAACGATCAAAATTTTATGGAGTTGGATATTTATATTCAGGTGTAATCATATTTCAGCCTTTTTTAAATAAGATTAATTTATAATTTTTTTATTTTATTTTTTCTTATGTTTCAATATTAAATATTTATTTCAATTAAATTAATAGATTATATAAGTTTTTTATGGTTAATATATAATTGTTTTCTAATTAAAAAAAAAATTTTAATAAAAATTATTATTTATAATATATATATATATAATATTAAAAGAAAAAGTAATATTTTTTTATTTTCATATAATTAAATTTATTTATATTTTATAAAAAAAAAAAAATGTAAATATTAATATATATTTAACTTTCAAAATCCTAGTTTATTTCTAGTATAATTAATTTTATTAGAAACAACAGTAAAAAGGTCACTTTTTTAATAAGTTTTAAAAGTTGTAAAATAATTTTGTTATTCAAAATCAGTAACATCTACCTAAATAAAATTTTCGAAAAATTCATCTAATAAAAGAGCATCTAAAGTTTTATGAATATGAATAAGCCATTTCATTGAATCATCCATTTAAGGATCTAAAAACTTATTAAAATACTTTGTTTTAATATCTTCAATATATCTTAAAACTAGTCTTCTAAAAGTATGATTATTTAATTCATATGTATTATCTATTTCTTTTTGAACATCATAATCATTAGAATACATAGAATTTTTAACGTATTTTTAAGCCTATATTATATTAATATAAAAAAAGAAAAAAATTGAAAAATACCTCATCTTTAAAAGAGACAACAATTTTTTTAGAATTATCAAGTTCTTTTTCCATTAATTTGCAAAAACTTTTATATTCAAAAGTTTAAGGTACACTATTCCAATATTCAAATTTATTTCTTAAATTAGCAAAAGCTTAAATATTAAAAGTTTCAACCTTAATATTATATATATATATATATATATTATTATATATATATTACTAAATTTTTATGTATAAATAGAGCCTCGACATATACTTATTTCATAAATAGGAATGAATATATAGGCGTTTCTGAATCGAAATTTAGTTCAAGTATTTCTTCTAGAACCTTATATAAGAACAATATTTTATTTCTTTCATTCAAAATATACTTGAATGATTTTGAAGCCTTTTATTTTTCTTATTCAAGTGACACTCCTTATTTATTGGCCGGATCTTTTTATTCAAGTACTTAAAAGATTTAAATATCCTAAAGATCAGTTTTTGACAATTCCCTTTTAAAAAGATCTTCCCATTCAATTCTTTTCACAGGATCCTTTACTAGAATATCTTTGAGTAAAGAAACAGTCCTCTAACTAACCCCAAATCTAGTCGGATATTAAATGTCCTTCCCTTCAACTGCACTAATAAGTTTTGCAATAGTAGCCTCTTCATAAGGGCATTCTCCATACAACATTTCATATAATACACATCCTAAAGACCATATATCAGCTTTAATTGAATAATCATGTCCAGTAAGTATCTCAGGCGCCATATATATAGGAGAGCCTACCATAGTAGAGGACATATCTTAAGGATGAGCTAGTCCTTTACAAAATCCAAAATCAGCTAGTTTAACCTATCCATTATGTAAGAGTATATTGGCTGGTTTGATATCTCTGTGCATGATATTATTTTTCACAATTGATGTAAAAGCGGCTACTAATTATTTAAAAATTTTCAATGCTTCATGTTCGGGAAGATATTTTTGGGTATTTATTACATCTTCTAATGTACCTCCATTACAATATTCATACACGAAATAATAGTTGTTTTTAGTTTTTAACATTTCGATAAATTTTACTATGTAAGGGTTGTTTATTCGGGCTAATGTCTAGATTTCATTCATTGTGAATTCTTCAAGTTTTGGAACTTCTTTAAATTTTTCTACTTTCACTACTTTTATTGCTACTAGGTTGTTTGTACGCACATTTAATGCTTTGTATACTTTACCGTATTGGCCTGATCCTAAAACTTCATGTAATGTATAGTCTTCGATTACTTTTCCTGACATTTTTTTTATTTTTTAATTTTCTTATATTTAATTTATTTTTCTTATTTTTTTTTTTTAATATTATTAATATTAAAAAATTGCTTTTTTTTTCTTTTATTTTTATTAATATTAAAAATATGTATTAATTATTTATATATTTATATAAATTATTTAATTTTTTTAATTATAATTTAACTATAATATATATTATATATTTAATTATATGAATAGTTAATTAATTAAATAAAATAAACATTATTATTTTTATTAATAAACATTAATATATATAATTTTCTAATTAATAGCTAATTTTTATTTCTTTTATAATATATACAAAAAAAATATTATTTAAAATAAATATAATAAAATTTTTGGTTATTAATTTTTATTATTATAAAAATTATAAGATATAAAACATATTAGTAATATGTTTATATTATTTATAAAAAAATAATTAATTATTATATTTTGAATATTTAAAATAATTATTATTTATATATAATTATTTATTTTGTTTTTTTTTAATTGTATTTTTTGTTTAAAATTTATATATTTTAACAATTAAAATTAATTTAATGTTAAAATTCTTTATATTTATCATATTAACCTTTTAATAATAAATTTTAGTAAATTAAATACTATAATAATTTCATTTATATTTTTAATATTTTTATTTGTTTATATTTCAAGTTAAAATAAATTATTATTTAAATAATTATGTATGAAAATTTTATAGTTATATTTTAATATTATGAAATTAATTTTTTAAAACTATAATTTTCAATAAAATCACATTCTTAATATATAATTTATTATTTTTAGTTTATCTAATATATATTATCAAATATATTTTTTAGACGATATTTTTTATTTTTAAAAGATTTATTTAAAAAATACAATTTATAAAAAAAATCTAAAATATATATATATATATATATAGAATAAATATATATATATATATCTATATATTTATTTATATATATATTTATATTTATAAATTAATTAAATAATTTAAAAAGAAATAACTTATAAATTAAATTAAATTGATTATGTTTAAAATAAATCAAAGAAAAACATTAAATGTATACTTATTTCAAATATACACTTAAAAAAAAAAATATAAGATAAAATAAAATAAAATTTCTACTCATTCATTTTTCTACTTTTCATCTATTTTATTTTAGTTAGTTTCATTTTTTCCATTCGTCTCATCTTTTTCAATTGTCTCATTTTTTCTATTAGTTTTGTTACTTTTTATAAAATTATAATAAAAACTCATATCCCTATATCCACTTTCTGAATTCTTAAATCCAGTTGCCTTTATCATAATTTATTTAATAGCGGAGGCATAAACTTACCAATCACATTCTGACTTAGGGTCTAATTCTAAATGATCTGGGTAATAATTTTCAAATTCAATGACATTAATTTGATTATAGAATTGAGCAAAAGTAAGTAAAAAACATGCTCCTTGCCCTAATGAATCTAAAGAGACATTAAAACGTCTTACAGGGTATTATAAACAGAAAATTTTAATAGGAGCGAATGTTTCGAAGGCACCCTTTTTAAAAGAAATCAAATATTTTCCATTTGTAGTAGTTCCTTCCGGAAAACCAGAATAGGGTTAAAATTAAGTCCTTATTTGATAAATTGCTCTCTTTACAGTATTTAATTTTGACATTATTTCTGTTTTATCCATCTTCCCTATCGACAAAAATACACTAAAGAGCCTTAGCAAAAGATCCAATAAAAGGGGTTTAGGCAACTTCTGATTTAGCTAAAAAAGAAGGGCAAATATCATAACAATGATATATAGAATCTATCCAACTGATATGATTGGAGACTATAATAGGCGCCTTTTCATTTTATCTGTCTATATATTTATTTGAGGGATATTTTGGGTCTATATCAGATATTTTCATATATTTTTTATTTATCGAATGTATTCCGGCACAAAATAAAAATAAACGAGAACCATGTTTTAAAAAAAACCTTATTATTATCTTTTTCCAATAAGGATGTTATTTTTAAGGATTATATCCTACTGCCATTATATTTAATAAAATAACTAAAGATGATAAATATGAAATTAAAACTATTAAACGGATTGGTAATAGAAATACTGCGCAAAAATATATTTCCAATATATTCCAGTTTTTACGGTCATAACGTTAGAAAGGCATGTATTTCTCGTCGAGATTTTCATCTAAATTTTCAGTGTATTTTAATTATTTAAATATCATTTTATTAAAAAATCTTATTATGAAAAAACAATAAAAAATGAATATTATTATTAATATTATGTATATTATTGGAATCATTTTTTTTTTTTATTAATAAATATTTTACTTTTTTTTTTTTTTCTATTTTTCTATTTTCTTTATAAGAATATATTCGAAAATTTCTAAAATTATATATAAATTATTAAGATTTTTTATAAAAAGTTAAATTTTGACTTAATAATAAACAGTTATTTATATATAAAAATATTTTTTTAATCAATATATATAATTATTTTGAATAATAATATTTATATATTTTAAAAAAAATATTAAATATTTCGAAAATAAATATATATAAGTAATATATTAAAATAATGTTTTTAAAAAATATCTTAATTAATTTTATAATAATGCAGTCTAAATAGCTATACACATTTTTTATTTTATTTTTTATATTTTATACCATAATGTTTATTTTTTTTATAATTAAAATAAAATCATAATAATTTATTTTATTTATAATTAAAATAAAATAAAAATGATTTATTTTATATATAATTAAAATAAAATTAATTAATATTGTTTAAATAAAATATATATTTAAAAAATTATCTTATTTTTCTAGAAATATATATAAATATAATTTCTTATAATAACTAAATAAATAATGAAATCAAATCAAATTAATTTTTTTTTTTAATAAAAAAACACTGTAAATTTATATATATATATAAATATTTATATATATTTAATTATTTATACAATAATAAAAAATAATTTGATTTTAATTTATTTAAAAAATAATAGTCATTTTAATATTTTAAATTAAAAAAATATTTAAAAAATGAATAACGATACATAGCATTTAAAATAAATAATTTAAGAGTTACGTATTAAAATATATATATTAGAAAAAGAAAACAATGAATTAAAAATAAAAAAATGTTCGAATTAACATAAAAAGTTCGATGCTAAACCAATAAATGAAAAAACAGCAAAAAAT